CACTCCTTATATTGTAGATAATCCCAAAATGCTGACACTCCTGATAATTCTTTTCATTTACACCCTCTACTGAATGTCTACTGTGTATCAGTTTTCTGCCAAATGCTATGGACAGAGCAGTGAGCCCAATAGAGAACAGGTGTCCCTAATTAAAGTACAGTCTGGTGGGGAAACATTATTCAACAAATCTACACTAATAAAAGAGTAAGATACAAATTGACTGTACTTTCATGACACCCACCAGCCAATCAGGCATGAGTATGTAAATTAACCCAACAAAGCTGGCGGGTTAGTTTGCATAAGCAGGTGCCAAGTAGTGGGGGGTGAGGGGGGGCAAGGTGGGGATGCAGGTATTCCACATCGCTCCAGCCACTTCAGGCCTCTAGGCAGCATGGGAAGCCAGAAAGGTGGCTCCAGGCCAGAGCGAAGGTGGTGCTGGCAGCCAGGGGAAGGTAGGCCCATTCTTGCACAAATCTTCATGCATTGGGCCTCTATTAATACAAATAATTACCTAACTGCAACTTCAGTGTCAGGAAGGAAATTTACAGTGTACTCTGGGAACACATCAGGGAATCCACCGAAAGTTGCAATTTTGCTTTCTTAAAACCAGAAGCACATCCAAATGCCTCCTCCAATCTTCTGATAGAGTGGCCTTTAGCAGGAGTGAGAGGTGATGGGTACACAAGGCAGCATTTTTCCTACTTATTTAAAATAGGGTCTCGGGATTGCAAACTATCCTTGAAGATGATTTTATCCTTCGGGATAATGATAATGCTCTCTCCCTTTCCCTTTCAATGTTGGGAGGAGAGAACATTTACAAAAATTTACACACATATACACACACACACACACACACACACAAAAGCTTCATTTGTAATAGTAGACATTTTGAAAGAACCTATATGTACTTTACTAGGGGAGTTCTTAGAAGAATTATGTTAAGAATATACAAGGCTACAGAATATGCTGCCTGACTATTAAAAAATAGTGAGGTGACACTTATGCACTGACACAGAATGCTATCCAAAATATTAAGTGAGAAAATGCAATTTGCTTTAAACACACACACACACACACACACACACACACACACACACAAACCAAGTTTTATTAATGCAGACAAAAGGGATATTAAGGCTGCACAGGTCTCTACACAGAAGTCACCTCTAGCATGTGAGGAAGTTTATGACTCCTTTGGCATGAGACTATATTTAGTACCTAGACATTTTGCAAAAATATCTAGGTACTATTTGTATAATAAAAACACAACGAAAAAAGTTAACGAAGAGATCCACATGCACATCAGCAGCCTCTCGGGACAGCAGGCGTCTTTCTGGTAGGGGCCAGGAGGCTCTTGGGCTTTAAGTATGAATTGAGAGTGTGCTGTTACACGGGGGCTATGCTCTGAGACCCTAAATATTAGCCCATTCTTACAGGTGCCCTAAAAAGAATCAACCAGCTTTGCCGTCCAGTACATGCTGAAAAGAAGCCTAAACGTATTCCCAAAGATGTGCCTAAATTTGGGCACAGCAGAGCAGATGACTTAAGCCATCTGGCTGCCGACTCGCATGGAGAAAGCACAGGGGAAACGGTAACCAAACACGCAGGATCTGAAGCAGCTGCCGTGATATCTGTCCTTTGGCTCTCTGAGGCTGGCCCAGTGCCTGCCTATGATGACAGCAGCAGAATAGAGCTAGCCCAAAGGGACCAAATCCCTCTGTGGCCGCCCGCTGGGAGCGGAGACAGCTCCCTGGCCAGACTGGACTCCCTTTCCCAGGGTCTCCTCACACACCAGGGTAGGGCCCCGGGAATCATAGCAGCCCTGAGAAGGCCTGCACTACACAGCTTCTCAAACGTCCCCCAGAGCATGAACCCCGTTCAGAGTCTGGTCTCCTGAAAGAGAGCCACACACTCTGGGAATTCATTTCTCCAGTAATTTGGGCAAATACTGCTAGAATTTCAGAGCTTGGAGGCCACACCGTCGAGTTATGCTTGTGCTAGAGGCCCAGGGCACAGGTTGGTGCACCGGTGGGGTTGCTCAATCGGGGCTGGGGAGGGACTGCAGGAGGGCTCCAGATCAGCTGGACCGCAGCAGCAAGCTAACCTACTGGTCGGAACACCTGCCCCCTGGAGATCAGTGCGCACCACAGTGACTGGTCAAACGGTTGGTCAAACGAATAGTTGGACACTTAGCAAATTAGTCTTTTATTATATAGGACTAGAGGCCTGGTGCATGGAAATTCAGCCCAGCTTATCCCCTCACAGTCCGGGAGCCCTTAGGGGCGGGAGGTGACCCAGCAATCAGGGGAAGGTGATGCTCCCATCACATCTCTACTGCTGCTGCTGCTGCTACCAGCAGCACAAGCCTCGACCGGCCCTGGTTACCTGAGCCTCAGGCGGCCCTGGATGGCTGGGCAGCTGCCACCCAAGGTTTGCCTGCATCTCGGGCGTTGGCTGGGCAGCTGCCATCTAAGGCTTGCCTATGTCTTGGGCATCGGCTGGGCAGCCACCATCCGAGGCTTACCTGCACCTCAGGCCAGCCCTGGGTGGCTGGGGGACTGAGGGCAGATCCAGACACACTGTGCGCCTGCTGCCACCCTGGCTGGGCTGAAAGAACTGGGGGACTCCAGTGGGGCTCAGGGGACTGGGCGCCGCCATCTTTGTGACAGTATGATGATCAATTTGCATATTCCCTCTTTTTTAGATAGGAGGATTCTACAGAGTTGTCACCCAGTTATGTCCTAAATCACACACTCACACACAACTGAATGATGTCACTTGTCAGCATGAATGGTCTAGTGGCAAACTGGATAGTAAACTCCTACAGGGCGAGGAGAGGACGCTGCCTCAAACTCCTTTCATGTCCCCTCCACACCTAGCATTGCTATGCCCACAGCCTAAAGCCACACCCTTGCTGCATCAACCCACTCCCAATGCCAATGAAGTGCCTCTCACACAGCCCATCAATGTGGATGAGTCTACTGGTACAGTTCCCTAGGTGCCCCTCTGATATGTGGCCAGGATGGTAACCAACTCCTCCGTCCCAATCAGGTGCCCAAGACCGTTGCTCCCCCATGACAGAGACCATGACTCATGTACACCGAGTCCTCGGTGCCCAGCACGCGGTCCAGCCCTCAGCGGGTGTACTCATACTCAAGGAGCACTTGCTGCAGGGAGAGACTATCTCCAGAACCCAAGCTAGGCGGTGGTTTTCCTTCCTGCTGGGAGCCTCAGCAGCCGGCCATCAGGAAGGTGGAAGGGAATGCCTACCCAGACACAGAGAAAACGGCACGCATATTTTTCCACAACAAATTTGGCAATTTCCTGAGTTGAACAAGTTAGTGTCCAAATCAAACGCATCATAACCCTCTTCTAACCAACTTTTCCCGCCATTCACTATTTCCTTCAACAAAAACACTACTCTCCCCTCACCCAGGCCTGCAGCTTTTCCAAAACTCTGACCTGTCTCTTGCTCTTCATGGCCCATTAAAAATGGGGTACTCAAGTGCCGCTTGATGCTCCTCCATCTCTCAGAAATCACCTCTTCCCATCCTTTTCTTTCCACTCTTGGCCCCCATGCACGCACAAGACCTCAACGGATGCCCCATCTTGAGGCACCCAGCCTCCCTAACTCCACTCTCCTCTCCTTTGCAGACCCTATGTGCTACCATCGGGCTATTATTTAAGTGCTGTTTTCAACCAGTCCATCCTTTGCTCAAATAAGAACCTCGTGCGAAACTGGTTTGGCTCAGTGGATAGAGCGTTGGCCTGCAGACTGAAAGGTCCCGGGTTCGATTCCAGTCAAGGGCATTTACCTTGATTGTGGGCACATCCCCAGTAGGGGGTGTGCAAGAGGCAGCTAATCGATGATTCTCTCTCATCGATGTTTCTAACTCTCTATCCCTCTCTCTTCCTCTCTGTAAAAAATCAATAAAATATATATTTTTTAAATTAAAAAAAAAGAACCTCGTACTGTTGACTCAGGCCCCAATCACTCTCCTATTCCAGGAACCCTGACTAATTCTCCTGCCTCAGCTAGGACCGCCACTGTCCCTCCCCCTTCCCCCCCCATCCCCCCACCCCCCGCCACGCCCCACCTTCCCCCTTCCAGTAACATGTAACATCTTTTGCCATCTCAGCATCTTGGCAAAGCTCTCAACTCTGCTTATCCAAATCCCTCCCACACTCCAAGGCTCAGGCCCAACTTCTCCCATAGGTCCAGCTCCACCAGCCTCTGCACCCCCGCCCCCACCCCCACCTGTCTCCAGCTGTCAGTCACACACGCTTTCCCTGATGACTCAAACACTTTCTGAAAGTCAGAAGAGCTGAGGTGGAAGAGCATACACTTTTCAGCCACCTGACCCTGCCCAAACCACCAGATTTTCGAATCTCACAGAACTGTTATTATGATCAAGTGAGAATTCACACGAAGGGGACTCATTCATCTCATTCATAATAAGAGCATCTACCGCGGAGGATGTTAGTATCTGTCTATTACCTGCCAGCTACAGGTATGTCCTATCATCCGCACTCCCCAAGTTTCAGTAAGTATCAATTAAAATAAGATATCAAACTTTATCCCTTTGATATCTTATTTTAATTGATACTGAAACTCCATATCCAACGTCCAGCCACGCAGGAACTTCTCTGGCACAAAAACCTTAGATGACAACATGAATGTGTGCAGGGGACAAGAGGGGAGACAGGTGTTCGGGTCAGAAGAGTGGAGATGGACGAGAGGCTACGGTGATGATCAGCAGGGCGCAGGAGACACCACTGGGGACTAAGGATGCGAGCAGGGTTCACGGGGCACACATGACGTCCCCGTGGACAAAGAATGCTTCAGCCCAGAAAACCGGGGGGCTACCTTTCCGCCCCACGTTCTCGCAGCTCTGCAGGGAGCACCGCCGGGGGCACCGGGTAGGATCCCTCCCCAGGGCCCGGCCCCTCCCAGAGCGCTGGCCCCGCCCGCCACGCCCCTCCCGCCCGGCCCTACCCACCGATGGAGATCTCCTGCGCGTAGGCCAGCGAGATGAGCAGCAGCGGCAGCCCCACGGCGATGTACGTGACCATCTTGTCCACGGCCAGCTCCAGCCGCAGCCCCTTGAACTTGGGCTCCGAGGGCTCCTTCAGCAAGAAGTCCGAGAACACGTACTCGGTGGCCAGGTGCGCGATGGCCATGGCCGCGGCGCGCCGGGCTGGGTCCCTCAGACCCCCGAGGGCAGGCGCGGGAGCTGTCGGTGTTGGGAGCGCAGCGCTTGGGAGCCTTCACGCCGGGCCCCGCCGAGGCTTTCGCTTTCCTTTTGCCACCTCCGCCGGCGGCCTGCACACCAGCCTTTGTGCCTCGGCGCGCGCGGCAGCCAGCGCCTCTGCCGGGCGCACGGCCTCTGCGCGCCCCGCCGCCGCCGCCGCCGCGCAGACCCGCCCTCGCGCGCGGCCCGCGCAGGTCCCGCCACGCGCGCGCCGCCCCGCGCTGCTCCGCTGCTCCGCTGCCCCGAGGCGCGAGAATCAACCCGGGAACAAGGCTCTCCGCTCTAGCCCGGGCCCCGGATCCCCTCCGCCCGGCGGCTGAAGCTGCTCCCGGGCCGGCCCGCGTGCTCTGCCCGCTCGGCTGCGCTTTTCCGGAACCCGGAGGCCGGGGGAGGACCCGGGGGGCGTGGAGTTCCCGGAAACCGCGGTGACGCGAGGCGGAGGGGCACGGCAGCATCCCGCGCCCCGGGTATCTGCATCTCCAAAGAGATCTTCCCACCGTAGAAGGACCTCAGTCTGATCCTCTTCGCGCTCCTCCCGTCCTCCTATTCCCATGTCTAGGCATCCGGAAGTTTTGGAAACATTTCTGAAAAACTAGCTGCCCCTTAACGCGGTGTACAGAATGGCCCACTTTTACATCCCACCCGCAACATTTCCACCCTGTGATTGAGGTTAAAAGGAGCTGCTGTGAATGCTTCAGAGAGCAACAAGGCAATCGCGCGGTGTAGTCTGAGCACGTGGGGAAAATGGGAGCCCTGGGCCCTTCTAGGAGCTTTGAGTGGCGGGAGCACAGGGGCTGCGGTGGGGAGCCCTGATGTGACTGGGTCTCAGGCCTCAACGCTGCTCAGTGGAGCTTCTCCTGCGTTCCTTGTAGGAGCCTTGGTCTGGGAGCCTGCGGAGCGGTGACCGAGGATGAGTGGATGTTGGGGTGGGGCAGCTTTGGAATCACTTACAGAAAGTGGATGCTGAGAAATAGACAGGAGATGCTCTAACCAGCAACATGGGAGCAGACAGGACCTTTAAACATGTCTTCTTGGAGCCGGGCTGGACTGTCCTCTACTTTGTGTGTGTGTGTGTGTGTGTGTATGGAGGGAAGGGTGGCGCCCATGCACACAAGCCTCTTCTATATGTTATTAACATCGTATATTGGTGATACATTTGTTACAATGAATGAACCAATATTGATACATTAATATTAATTAAAATTTCCTTAATTTTTACCTCCTATCCTTTTTCTATTCTAGGATTCTATCTAGGATACCATATTATATTTAGCTGTGTGGACGAAAATTCATAATTCTAAAATTAATATGGGTTAGATGGGTGGGAGCTGCCCAGAATAGGTAGGCAGGTGGATTAGAAACAGACTGTCTAGCTAAAAGAAAAGGAATGATCAGTGAGCGGACTATTTAGTGAATGAGATAAAATAAGCTGATAGTAAGTTGACTCGTGTTTGTGCATTTATTGTTTATTTTTATATTTCTAGTGTCAACAATTGGGGAATTTTGGGTTTTTGCAGAAAGGAAAAAGAAAGTGAAATGGAAAGACACGGCAGGATATTCGCTGGGGGAAAGTGATGTGTCAGATGTGGAAGAACACTGCTGCAGCTGTGTGGGCTGGGTGGAAGGAGCAAGAGTGACAGGGAGGGCTGGTTAGGGGGCTGCGGGAGTGATCCATCCTGCCTGAGCAGGATTCATGGTCTGCAGACTAATGAGAAGCAACTTTGAATTTATTGTATTGTATATAGATGTTTTTCAGATCCATGAAGATGGATGGAATAATCTATGAAGAGGACTAGATCAAATTACCACACATTTGGTGGCACACAGTTATTCTCTTTGAGCTCTGGAAGCCTGAAATCAGTTTCTCTAGAGTACAATCAAGGTGTCCGCGACCATGCTCCCTCCAATGGTGAAGAATTTATTCCCTTGACTTTTCCAGCATTTAAGGCAGCATTCCTTGGCTTGTGGCCCCTTCCTCCTTCCCAAGAGCCAGCTGGGAAGAATTTTGCTTTGCAATGCCTTCCTCTGCCTCTCATTTGGAAGGACACTTGTGATTACACTTATGGCCTATGTGGGTAATCCAGTATCCACTTCTCATATTGACACATTGTGGACTAGTGGTTTTATTGCTAGCTTTCCCCAGTGGCCAAATAAGTGTCTACTGAACGATTACAAAAAAATGTTACATAAATGTTAAAGGCACACTTTAAAATTAAATGCCCATTGCATTTTGAAATTACTTATTACATGTTCTTACAAGCTAATATCCTTTTAAAGAATTTTCATGATTGTCCACAAGCCTTAGAACACAAAAAAAGAGAATTCTCATCATCCATCCGCAATGTGTTAAGATCTTTAACTTGCTCATAACTGCAAAATCCTTTTGTTTTTCATATAAAGTAACATTCACAGGTTTGGGAATTAGGACAAAAATCTTTGGGGACATTATTTAGTCTACCCCTGAGAGCATAAGACAGAAAAGGTGCTGGTTTCAGTCCCTGAGGCATGCTGACATCGAAGTCCGAGAAAGGACAGGTAACTAGCAGAAGAGACTGAGACGGAATAGCAGTTGAGGAAGATGGAAGGCTGACAGCGAGTCATGTTGCAGAACCAAGAAATTAGAGGATGTTTGGAAGGAAGCGGCTCTCAATTGTTGCTGAGAGGTTGAGTAAGATAAAGATGGCAAAAAACCAGTAGAAATGGCATGATGGTTATTGATTTTGGCAGCAGCAGATTGGGATGTGGGAGAAGAGAGGACAGGGCACCCTGGATTGGAAGCCATTGGAATGGGTTGAGGAATGCATGGGGTGAGGTGGTACAGCCAGCCAGTGTGGACAGTGTTTTAAGTTCTGCTATCAAGGGAACAGAGAAACTGGGCTGGAGGGGTTTATGGAGTTAAGGGCAGGGGCTCTTGTTTTGCTTTCTTTTGCTGTTTCAATTCTCACCCCAGAATATTTTTCCATGGATTTTTAGAGAGAGTGGGAGGGGGAGAGACACAGAGAGAGAAACATTGATGTGAGAGACATATTGGATTGGTTGCCTCCCACACTCATGCCTGGGGCTGTGGATCGATCCTGCAACTGAGTTACTTGTCCTTGACTGAAATCAAACCCGGGACCTTTCAGTTCAAGGGCCAGCATTCTATCCTCTGAGCCAAACTGGATAGGGCAATTTTGCTTTCTAATGTTAATGGTGGGTATTGCTGATGACTTCATGCGGGAGGAAAACCGGATAACTGAGGAATGAAGTCCTTGAGAAAGCACAAAGGGATGAGGTCCAGAGCCAAGTGAGAGACTAGCCCTCCCAGGAGCAGGGACATTTCTTCTATTGTGACTGGAGGAAAAGATGTGTGTAATGTGGTTGATTTTCTCAAAGGAGTGAGGCTGAGGATGAAGAAGTGTGATACATTTGAAGAAACAATGGTTGGGGAGGGTCATATTACTAGTGGAGATAAATTGTTGTTTCATTTCCCTTAGTAGGTATGACTGGGATAGCTGCTGAGTATCTGAAATATATTCTCCTTTAAGCGATCAACTGAAGGACTTGTATGCATGCATATAAACATAACCAATGGACATGGACACAAAACTCTGGGGAGGGCGGGCATGTATGGGAGTGGGGGTGGGGGACAATGGTAAGATATGTACACATATAATACCTTAATAAAAAAATGAAAATAAATTAATAAATAAAATATATTCTCCTTTACTCCCCACACCAGGTTATTGGTAGGTAATTTTTAGTTAAAAGACGAACAAACATGCAAATAGCCATCTTATGTGAAACTTTATTAAAAAGAGAAATGGTATAATCAAACTACTGTGTGGTTTTAAGTTCATTAAAAAAAAAAAATAAGAGGAAAGGGGGAAAAAAAACCTTACAACTAAATAATTTATTGTCTAAGTGAGTTATAAGACATTTCTCATAATCATTATTATGAAATGATGCAGTCTACACATGTATGAAAACTGTAGAGCACCTATTACAAAATCACATTATCAGTGGTTAGCAGGGGAGAGTTCAAACCCCTGCTTGATAGGGCATTCAGCCAAACAATGAACAGAACTATTAGCATTCACATCCTGTCTTATGTAAAAATAGCTTCTACCAAATCCCGTTTCCCCTCACCAAGATGAAGACAGAAAGTATGAAAGTTCCCTCCACCGGTATTTATTAGATCCTACTCATTCATCTGGACATCCAAGTGATCCATGGTGAGGGCAGATGTATACTGTCACTAGTCTGGCATCGGCATTGGCATCACAGAGCATCTTGCCCTGAACTAAGGGCAATTTCTCAGTCTAGTAATAAACAATACTGCTTTTATTAATCTTACACCTAACCTTTATGCATACAAAAAGAATGGATTGCCTCATAGTGGATTGAGTTTAATTGTTCAAGATGTTTTTTTTTGCATTTGAGCCTGGAAAACTGTAATACTTATTTTAAAAGCTGATTTAATGGTGTCAATAATTGCCACTGGGACTCTCTTTTTCTAGCATTTCCTTTCCCTTTTTTTCCCTTTCTAACAAGAGGCTATATCAATAAGAGGCATAGAATTAATGATTTTATGAGATTCTCTTCTCCCAACCAGTCAGCTGCATTGCTGAGTTCTTCCTAATGTTTCTGACATGATGAGACTGTTTTTATTTGCTAGAAGATGGAGACTTGGAAAGAACCCCGAGGTGAATAAAAAAATCAGACTCAAGCCCAGACTTGCCTCCTGCGAAGTTTCCTTCCATCTTAGAAGCTCCCTCGAAATTCTCAGGGAGCCCGCTGTTTCAGATTCCAGCCCTCCACTTCCTGGAACACAGATTCAAGTTCTCTAGTTGATTCTTGAAAATACAAACGTTGCCATAGAAACATACAGTAAAAACTAATAATATAAAGTGAGTCATACACATTCAAGTATCTCTATTAGTTTGCATAAAAATAGCACCAATATTTTAAAAATTGTTTGCGTATAACTTTGCCTTCTGTAACAAATAGTGGACCAGTTATTTTTATATTAAAGTGGGAAAGGCCAGAGAGCTGGCTAACGCTCTAAAATATTCCCTTGTGCTTTCTATCAGCAGATACTGACATAGACATTTCCATGAACTCCTGAGAAAGGCCTTCCCCCTGGAATAGCTAAAGGAAGCATCTTGTTGAACAGGGTTGAAAAATCAGTGCTATTCTAGTTAGATGTCTGAGGCAGTCTAACTTTCTATATAGAAGCTGTCCATCTGAAAACTTCGATGATTAGCTGAGGAAGCACTGACTGTCTAATCTAAGAAGTGTGAGAGCTGGAAACGAAAGACATCTTTCAAAGGGAATCCACAGCTTTAGCAAATGTATTCTGAGAACAGGCCAAGGCTGTGTGTCAGTCACACCTATCCTCCACTCTCTGTATTTTATACCTGAAGATTAGTCACAGCCCATTTAAAACAAATAATTAAAAGCAAATTGCTTTGATTGTGTTCCCGAGGATCAGCGCCCATCCAGGGTACCGTGTGGACCGTCCTTGGCAAACCACGT